TAATAGTGAAATTGGTGTGTTATTACTATTATTATAGTACATCACTTTACATAGGCCAAGAGGATTGTAAATTTTTAGTATCATAAAAATATTGAAACAATGTTGTATTTCAACATGGCATATACACCTGTGTATTCGTAATGTAATTATTTGGTATTTTTATTCCAGCTGAGAAGCAACAGCAATACTAAAATTTTTTCGGTTATAGTAAATTGCATATTTTGGTTTAAACTCATAATTTCAATTTATGATGAAAGATAATAGATAATTATTATTACTTTATGTTTACTCATTAACTCATCAATTACTGGAGGCTAGTTATGTTACCATACAGCGAGATATTTTTGGCCCATAAATTTTGTAGATCTATTCAAGAACATATGTTGGCTTTAATTTTTGTAATTATCTACTTCTTGACTCTGTTTACCTGTATTTAATTGATTCTCACAATTGTAAATAAAAAAAATATTGGGCCATAAATGATTCTTGCTTACATGGTACAAAGGGCATGCAGGTTCACAACATTAAAATTGTGAGTGCTTAGCTCACTTGTCTCCAAATCATCAGGTAAATGTTGCAATGCATTGTGCTGCCTTTTTCCTATAAAACATTATATTTATAATTGCAATAATAAGTCTTACTTCTCTGATCTAGCCAGTTCAAGCATTCAGTAGCCATTTTTTGAGATTCTTGATTAATCTTACAACGAAAAACATAACGCAATTGTGTTTTAAGCCATGACACTATAGCTGCATGCCTTTCTTTACCACAGGGACAGTAAAATGCTCTTTTTGGTTTCTCACATGTACTAAGTTTGTGCTTAGATATTGCTACATCAACTGCTTTTTCTACAGCTTCCCTTGCTGGAATGTAATCGTTAGCTACTTTACAAAACACTGTAATACAGTCAAGTTGTTCCACAAGTATTATATCACTTTCAAGAAGGTCAGGGCACTGTAAAGTGAAATAATTTGAAAAGTTTGACTCTTCAACGACTTTCCAGGGAGATTCCTTGTGAGAGAGAAGATGAACAATGACTGCACAAAAGAGACCCATTGGAATAGCACTCTCAAAATATAACAAAAGAGGTATTGTGTTAGGGTAGGGGTTGATGTTAGATACATCCATTATAGGTAGAAGAGCTGGCATGAAAAAAGTATCTTTCTCAGGCAGATCTAACTGTGCAGCAATCAGAAGGTATTCAAAAAGGCCAAGTAACTTTTTGTCAAAACTAGAAAATGCCTTGGATATTTTATTACAACTTTTCGATGCCTTTTTAAGAATATCAATAGAGAGATGACCTTTACACACGAGTGCTTGTTGATCAGGAAGTAGATATTTTGCATCAGAATGAGCATTATAGACAAACACCAGTAAATCTCTAAGAATGTTAATGAGGCTCTCTATGTTAACAAAAACAAGGTCACAAGCAGGTGAATCAGGATAAAAGAGCAATCTATTAAGAAAACTGAGAAACTTGATGGCACTTAACGATTCTTC